GTAAATATACACTCTTTCTTCGAATTCTATTTGATCTCCTCAATCCTGTATTATTCAATCTTTTGCCACGTGTTCGTCCTTTCCAACAAACTTTGGCTCCTCTATTTCTTTTCCCGCGTCTTCACTACTGCATGTTACAATACCCTTCCCTTTAAAATAAACCTTGTCCTCAAGGTTGAATTGAGGATAGGAAGACTTAATTTCTTCCATATCTTCCTAAGTGCTTGTTTCACGTCCTCCCAAATTCCTTTGTACTAAAACTTGGAGTACATACTGAAAATCACATAGCATCACCTGTGAATTAAGTATCTTGATTAGCTACAACACAGGTCCCACCTCAGCTTCTTCAATAATGAAATGTGGAATCCAGGATGTATTCAAGCTGTCTTAGTGTTGTACACTGGGGGTTACCACACACATACACATGTCTCCACATTGGTAAGATATTGTCCGCTTTGGGCCTAGCCCTCACGGTTTTGCTTTTGGATACCACCTAAAAGACCTCTGAACCAATGGAGACAACTGTGTGTATATAAACGCATGTCTATCCTCTTGTGTGAATGATGTGAGACTTTGCTTACATCCTAACAATCCTCCCCTCAAACAAAGGACCATGGTTCTACTCCCATTTTCCAGCGAAAGCTATCACAGTTTATGAGTATATCTGATGGTGGCCTATAGAGCCCCCCATTTTTCAACGAAAGCTATCACAGTTCATGAGTATATCCAATAGTGGCCCATAGAGCTCAGTCATGCTCTAAGTACTTGAGTCGCCGCTCCATCGTGAACGGGACACGCCTCCTGACCCTCCATGTTACCAGGAAGACTTTCTTCCACATGGACCCACTGTTAGGAAGACTTTCGACACAAGGGATCCCAAACTTGGATCCACCTGCCAACTCCATCATACTCATTGAGCCGGTCACTTGATCAAATCATCAACTCTGATACCACTTGTTAGGGATCGAGGCAAAAGGAGTAGTACACTAGTTTTTGAAGTGGCCATTCTACTGACATTTCCAACAGATAATATCCTGCGAGGTTTGGACTATCCTTGCTTCTTGGACTTTGATCTATCATGCCTAGAACCTTGCCCCCTTTCAGGCCTTCTACCTCTACCTTCTATGCTTAATAAGGAACCTGCTGATTCTCCGACATTTCTCCTACGAACATCCTCACCAAGGATTAAATCTCTAATTCCTTTGAAGGTCAATTTCATAGTCCTAGATGTACTAGCGACTGTTGTGACAGTTCTTGACCAACTATCAGGTAATGAGGATAGCAAGGCATTTCTCCTACGAACATTCTCACCAAGAATTAAATCCCTAATTCCTTCGAAGGTCAATTTCGTAGTCTTAAATGTACTAGCGAGTGCTGTGACAGTTCCTGACCAACTATCAGGCAACGAGGATAGAAACCAGATGTACTAGCGAGTGCTGTGACAGTTCCTGACCAACTATCAGGTAACGAGGATAGCAAGGTGTTTCTCCTACGAACATCCTCACCAAGGATTAAATCCCTAATTCCTTCGAAGGTCAATTTCGTAGTCCCAGATGTACTAGCGACTGCTGTGACAGTTCCTGCCCAACTAGCAGGCAACGAGGATAACAACAATAGGGTTTGTACTTCATCATCAAATTTAATATCCACTGATACTAATCTCGATAGTAAAGAATTAAATTCATTCACATGATCTGTAACACTAGCACCTTCTCCCATCTTCGTATTAACTAGTTGACGAATAAGAAATAACTTATTTGATGTTGATGGCTTCTCGTACATGTTTGATAATGCATTTATCAAACCATATGTCGTCTTCTCATTGACAATGTTGTAGGCGACATTCTTCGCCAACAAATCCGAAATCGTTCCCATCGAACTTGTCAATCTTCACTTTCCCGTCTTCACGCCTCCTAATCTTCTACCGTTAAGAAGACATTCGACACAAGGGATCCCAAACTTGGATCCATCAACTCCATCATTCCATCATACTCATCGAGCCAGTCACCTGATTAGACCATCGGCTCTGATACCACTTGTTGAGCATCGGGAGTTACAACACACATACACATGTCCCCACATTGGTAAGATATTGTCCGCTTTGGGTTTAGTCCTTACGATTTTGCTTTTAGATACTACCCAAAAGGCCTTTCTTCATCAGAGACAATTGTGTGTAGATCATCCTCTTGTGTGAACGATGTGAGACTTTACTTGCATCCCAACACTTAGGTAATTTCATCTTGTAAGCCACGGCACTAATTCGCTGTAACACTTGAAAAGGGACAAAAAATCTCATTCCCAGCTTCTGATTCTTCCTTAAGGCGATAAAATGTTTCCAATAAGGTTGTAACTTAACCAAGGCATAGTCTCCAACATTTAAGTGAAAATCTCTCCGCTTCCTGTCAGCTTGTAACTTCATATAATTTTGAGATCTGAGCAGATTATGCTTTAGCTGCTGAAGAGTTGCATATCTAGCTAATAATGATTCTTGTAATGGAAAAGGGTATCTTGAATCACATTAATAGAAACTACTGTAGTGAGTTATTCTATATTATAATACATTTGGTAGGTGGCGCCCAATATATATGCCTCTGCCAGAACATGAGCCAGTAACTTTCATGATTTTTTATATTTTATTTTTATCCCCAATTCAAGGAAATTTTTTATGCAACAACAAATAGTTATATTTGGTCAAGGGTTTTGAATCCTGCAAGCATATATTCTAGGAAGACTTTACCTTTTACCTTAGGGCTAATCTTGCAGTTTTGTCTGAGAATTTCCGGTTAAATTTAAAGTCTTCATTAGTGGTTTCTATTATAGTTATATTTGGTCTTCTGCCTTTTTAAGTTGGAACGTTTTTCATTTAATTGATTTACTTTTCTTGAACCTACTGGACTTCCTGCATAAGCTTTACCGCTGTAGAATTTACTCAATTTTCTTAACAAATCAATAGTAATTATATATATGCATTGAGGCACTAGCTCGTAAATACAACTAAGGTTGTGATCAGCTTAATCGAAACCTATTAATATGAATTTAAATACTTTGGTTACTCCTCAAATATGATTATAACTACTTGATGTAATGGTAATATAAAGTTTTTGATTTCATGAGCCTTTTGCGTTCGTTCAAAGGAAAATGGAAGGGGAAGTCTTGAATTTAATTTCAATGTCTTTGTTATTATCAGCATGCAACATATAATTGAAAGGCGTAATCGGCATTCAGCGATTCAAGGATTAGACAATCCATCTATTGAGCAACAGGTATAATCACGTATACTTTCCATTTTTCCTTGCATGATATGGTGAATTAGTAGTGCACATTTTAATCATGGAACCCGGGAAAAAAAGGAGCTCTGTTTCTGAGCGAGAATATTTTACTACAATGAGAAAGCAAGTTCAGCAGTGTTTTTAATATAAATTTGTTTTGAACAGTCTAATGTCATTGAATTGATTTGTGTAATGATTCTACCTGTGGAATAGGTATTGTTTTGTTGTTATGGGCTAAGGTGGGCATTGGAAACAATCGTCTCATGATTCTACGGATTTCACGTCAAAATCCACTTATTTATCAACTTTCTTATCGTCAATTAATATTGCTGCAGTCGTATATCTAAAATGGATTTGCTCTTGTAACTGCATGCTTTTGCAACAAGTGAATGTTGATTTGTATAAAGTAGTTTTTTTCTTTTGTTTGAAAATGAGATACAATTTCTTTCCATGGAGTTAGTCTTTATAAAAATAAAGTAGTATCTCCAAGTTGTGACTCCAAGTTCAATGCGAGAATCCAACCCTAGATTATAATTAAAAAATATAAGTATCGAATCATTTAAGTTAACGACTTTTAGTTGTACAAAGTTGTCTTTGACATAGCTTGCTCATCCACAGGTGCAAAATCATGAAAGACAGCTTTTATTTTTATCTTTTGAAATCTAATACAATATGTGCATAGCTTGGAAGCGTCTCCTATGACATGCTGCGCAAGGAAGTGGAAGATAAGACTCATGAACTGAGGTATGCACTGCACTGCAATGCAACTATTTTAATTTAGACTTGTTTACGATGCACGCACCATGCAAATATACATCATTGAGAGACATTGTTTCCATGAATGAATCTTTAATGCAGTAGGTTGAATGGAAAAGAGTTGCAAGGATTGACAATACAAGAATTGCAGAAGCTGGAGGAACTTCTTCTCAGACGTTGGGCCACTATTTCAAAAATTAAGGTTTTTCCCAAATTAAGGTTTGTGCTTATAAAAGTTATGCATGCTTTTGACATAGGATACTAATTAACGTGTTAATTTCAGGATGAAAAAATTATGCAAGAGATAAACAGCCTTAAAACAAAGGTAAAAACAACTTCGCTTAGATATATTTCAATAAACCCTACATGTTTTTGAGTTATTATTCGTATTTTGGTGACAGCATATCATACAGGTCCCAAAATTAAGTTAAACGGTTCAAAGCAAATTAACTTTTAGATAAAGTCTTGTTGGAATGCACATTCAGAAAATTATGAATATAATTAAGCACATGAATATCTCTATTAATTAGAGACCTTTTGAGAGTTGATTAATGACAAATTCATACAACTTTACATTTAAAGTAAATAATATCTTACTAATATAGATACAAGTATATGTGGGGATCTCCAATACACAACAGATCTATAATAACTTAAAACTATGTGTGTAGAATTGTTAACTAACCCAGTGCACAACAGGCCTATAATAACTTAAAACTATATGTGTAAAGTATTGTTAACTAACTTTGCGATATTAGCCATTTGTTGTGGACAACACTTAAGGTGAGAATACGGAACTAGTTTGGAACTTGTAAGAGGTTGATATATAAACATTATATATACCCCAAAAAACTGGGAATCAAAATGAAACATAGAAGATATAAGTTCAAGTTATCAAGTTATTAAAATTTACCTCGTTAAGATCTTTGAAGACGCCATTTATCTGATTCGCAAACAGGGAGAGATCAATGTGCAATAGAAAATAAACTAAAGGGTATTAGTTATTCGTTATGTTAAAAATGAAGTGTTAGAAAATGAGCTTTATTTATTAAAATAATGAACTTTAAGAAGATCCAGCCTGTTAGCAATATTTTGCACCTACCTTTATTCACAACATATTTTCTGCAATGATGTTTGGCATGCAATGATGCTCATGAAGGAAGCCGAACTTATGAAAGAGAACCAGCTGAAATCGAAACAGGTGATATAGACTTTTCAAAATCTTGCTCATTTATTTGTGTGGTCTGTGATTTTTCAGATTTACATATTTTGGGGCTTACTCAGCAATAATTAATAATGTAACACAATTAAATTTTATGTACAGAGCTTCGTACTAGAACAAAGGCAATCACATGAGCCATATACCTGCAGTTCATCTGATTTTCCTCCAGATCATGGTAGTTCTGCTGACACATCTCTCAAGTTGGGGTTAGTTTACTTCATCCTATAATAATTGTCAGAATACTTTAGTACAATTTTACTCTTTCAGAATAGATTGTAATTAACATTTCAACATGTTTAATCACAAGTCTTGCAAACTCGGGGAAATATCAAAATTTATGGAAAATTTCTGTAATAGATTCTGGTGTTACTTCAGAAGCTTGTATATGTGTGTTTATCTTAATTTCTATGTTTTTGCAGGTTGGCTTTATTTGAATGAAACAAAAATGTTGGTTTAAAGGACTATAGTGAGAAGTCTCAGCCAAGATCAATGTTGTTTTTGGTATTTAAAAACAATTTGCTGGATTTTATTGGGAAAAATTTCACAGCTGGAGTAACTTATTATTTGCTAAGCTAAACAGAACATTTCAGTTGTCATTATTTCAGATGTGATAACTAAAATAGAATAGTTATTTATTGAATCCTAGTGTGTGTTTGTTTTTTTACTTTTTTTTTATAGAATTATTAAAAATATAAATCATATAAAGTTCTATATATCATTTATAATTATAAGAAAATATATATAAAAACTAAAAATATAAAATACTAATCAACACCTCAGTAGAAACATACTTGGTTTTTTTTAACAATTTCTATAACGCATTATATTTAGTTGTATTGCGTATATCCTTTACAAGGAGTGTAAAATAAGTTGTTTTATAAAATAAACACTTGTGTGTTGTTAATAAATAAATTGAATGTTACTGCTGAGAGTTAAAGTTCAGCCCACGAAAAATATAATGACTTCTCATTATTTTAATCTTTCTTAAGTGAATTCATATATCATGAGTTCATCTCATATGAAATATTATAATTATACTTTAAATGTTTCTTTTCTTGTTTTATGATGAACTTAAGTTCTCATTATATTAAAATAATATTAAACGTTGTAAATAATGAACAATATTTAACAACACATTATTATTATCCAAATTCTATACATTAGAAAAAGAAACAAATTTCATCTAAATCACTTGCACTCATTTTTATAATTGTTATATGTTGAATATCAACTTTATAATTATTTTATTATGGGCTATATTCGATGAAACATACCACCCATAATGTAATAAGAACGTTTAATACCTTATAAAGTCAAATAAAGTATTCACAAAACTGGTTGAGAGAAATTTAGAAAGAAAAAAGAAAAAAAGATATATTCATTTTTTCTATCTTATTTTTTATTTAATAAGAATGTATACATATAAATTAGAAAGTAAAATAATACTTCTAGTTATAATTCCATATTTAAGATAGAGATTAAATCTCGATCCTTAATTAAAAAAATATGTCAAATTATTTAAATTAATGATTTATGATTTTTGGTTATATAGAATATATATA